TGCTTGGCCTGCTGTGTTCATCCAGCTCTACACCTTGTTATCTCAGTATCTCCAGCATCTGCAGTTCCTACTATCTCTATACATTATTTGGATTCTTCTGTGTAATACTTCTGTTAAAAGTACTTTGGCAGCTTCTTGCGAATATGTTCAGTGAGTGACGACCACAGTAACAAAACTTTAAAACTAAAAAACTTATGGTCTATCAATCCAGGATTCTCTCTAGCATTTGACCTTCCTAGTATTACCATCAATTATGATCATAAATTGAGAAAACATAGTTGTAAATGGCTTCTTGAAAACATTCATGATTGAATTGAATGCAGGATGCTTACTGACATCTGCAGTTTGCAGATTATATATTCAAAAAAAGACCTTGGCTATCCTTTACATTGCACATGGGAGAACCTTCCGTAAGAGATAATGTGTTTCTTGTCCTCTTCAATCAGCATGCAGAACACTATGAGTGGCTATATACACCAATACATTTGGTCAATGATGGATAAAAAGATACTGATACATAAAAGGCTATGGTACCTACCCAATCATTAAGAAGATCAACCAGCAATGGCCTGTGGCTCCTGTCAATGCAGCTCACTCCCTTCTCCCATCACCCCAGCTAACATTCAGGCTCTGCTCCTTCCTCCCATCCCACCTTGCTTTGCGCACCTCCTGTGCAGACGTAACCTTGTATGCCTTGCTCAAAGCACTCTATGATCTGTATGTCCTTGTTTGCTATGAACTGTCTGTACTGCTCACAAAACAATGCTTTTCACTGTACTTGGGTAATTATGACTACAATAAATCAAATCAAAAAGCCGACACTTAGGTTCTGCTCCCCATGCCCCGCTGACAGTTGGCCTTGTTCCCAATTAGAACTCAACTCAGTGCATATCTGCGCCAGACTTCTGAAACTCTCCCGCACGGTAGCCCAAAGATCGGCCAGACTGACTCCTCCAGCTTGTCCACTCACAGATTCTGTCTCTGGAAGAGCAGCAAGAGCTGAAATGAGGGAATCTCCTTTGGGAAGCTCCTCCAATCACAGAGAGACAGAATCTACGGCTGGAGAAGCAACACCTCAAAGAGACAGGAGGTGTAGTCATCCATTGAATTTTTGTGGGTGCTTTGGAGTCTCTGGGATGATCTTTGGGTGGTGTTGCCCTAATTTAGTTCTATTCAAACACACGTATTTTCAACCAGACAATTGCCAGCAACGGCTTTTCTTCCTCAAATGGACTATAACCTCCAGAGAGCATCATGTACCCTTTCACGATTGAAGCACCCACTCTGGCACAAGGGGCTTTAGTTTTCTAATGCACACTCATCACACCTAACTCTATCTCTTCATCACCTCTTTTAATAGCTCCATGAACAACAGCTTGTCCAATATAAATAAGACAACTTACTTTAGCTAAACAATGTGAAGACTGACTCCCATTTCTGTGTCACCTACCACTGATTCCAGTCACCCTCAGATAAAGCCAGACTATGCACAAACACAAAGTCCAGTTCAACACTCAGATAATCCAATACCTTTTTAAATCACAAGGATAATCTAATTTCACCACGGTATGAGGTGATGATCCTATCATAACTCATTTACTGCTGATACACTCATTTATATCTTTGTCACTTAGGAGCTTAAAATATTCCGATGCTTTCCTGGTCAGCCTATTATTTTCCACATTCTGAGCTGTTGATCTAAATTCTACTTCCCATATTGTATCCTGCACCAAGACAAGGTGATTATGTTCACCCATCACCCAGTTCTCACTGACTTACATTGGTTCCTGTTCCACCAATACTCAAGTTTAAAATACAGTTCTTTAACACTCAAATCATTTTACAGCCTTCTTCACATCCATCTTTGTAATCTGCTTCAGTATTACAAACACTCATCAATTCTCCTTTCTGCTAGTCTTGGCACTTTGTACTTCCTCACTTCCCTTACCTACCATTAATAGGTATGCTGTTAGTTGCCTAGGCCTCATGTTTAGAAACTCTTTTCATATTTTTCCACATACTAACTCCATCTCATTGAGCCACAGGACCGTACTAAAAGTCTCCTTTAAATTAAAACATACATGCACTTGAGAAGTGCCTTGGGACTACTTTCTACATTACATTTGCTATTTAGGGCTTGTTATTGTTGAAGACTTAGGACCAGATCTTTGCCTAGATGGCCAAACTGGGTAGCCCTTAAAAGTGGCGGGCAGGACCCGATTCCAGAATTCCCACCCATTTCCCATTTTTGGCAATATTTACCAGGTTGGGATTAGAGTGTGGGTAGTCTGCCGCATACAGCACTCCTATTGTTTCTGGTTCTACTGCAGGGGCGGTTAGTATATTTGAGCCCCTTCCATAACAATGTGGTTCATTGCCTCTCAGAGAAGTCAAGAAAAGCAAGGGAACCCTGGTTCCAAGTGGGAAGCAAAAAAAGTCACTTGTTCATGGAATTCTTCTCCAGATTGTTTTTATTACAAAACCTGTTTGGATAATTAAAATGCTGCATTGCAAGCTAGCTGCGTTTTCCCCGCAGTGACTAGTTACGTGGTTCTCTCCTAGTTTTGTCATGAAAATAAGTTCAGAATTACAGTTGAGCTTTGTGCAAGTGTTGAGATGTATCAGAGTACGTTCCTCTTTGCTAAAATGTTATTTTGCATTCAAAACTGAAGTCACCACATGAGGTCTTTACAGTTACAATTAGGAATGATTGAAATATCTGTAAGTGCTTTAAATTAAAAAAAAGTCTGTGGCTTTCAGTTGAAAACAAAAAAACAAACAACTGCTCCCAAACTGTCTTCATTGATAACTCACCTGTTTTTGTAGTTGCAGCAGACTTAATTGCTTTCTTGTGTAATATTTTGATACCTGGAGTCATTATGAATGCTCAGCTGATTTTCAAAAGCTACAGAACTAGATATTTCAAGAGGGGGCTGACAGTTTTAAGAGATTATTAAACAATGTGGTAAGTGAATAAGGGTTTTGTCTATTGCAAATAGTGTTTTTGCAGATTGGTGATTGTGGACACTGGAGAGTGGATGAATGATACATAGGGGCATAGAGAAGCACAGGGGCTGAGGGGATAAAGGAGTATGAGGGAAATTGGGGAGGCCATTGTGGGTGATGGATGGTTTGTTGGAGAGGGTTCTAGAGCCTAATATTTTTATTACATTTGCGCTGATGTCTCAGGGTACATAGACAAGCATTCCAAGCTGTTAGCTTCATCATCTGCCACGCCAGTTTAGTCTCAAGTCTGTCTCTGGGGCCAGAATACCCAATTTTCCTCTCCTCTGAATCTTTTATATTCGATGAGGCAAAGTGTAAGTTAGCTGAAGAAAACCCCTGCAAATAATCTAACATAATAAAATGCATCTCGTAACTACATGATTAAATCTGTTTTACACTTCTCCAAAACTGTTTGATCTTTTGTTGTTTAAACACTGGCAATAGTTTAAATATTAATGACTACTGAACTGAATCCTAAAACTTCAAGTGAGTCTCAAGTTACTTTAAAACACAAAGAGGCATAGTAATGTCACAGATGCAGTCATTAAAGTTTTTGTTTGAAAATGTTATAAAAAAGGAGCCAATTGTGCATTCTGTGAAACTGTGCAAAAAACACATACTCAGATAACACAGATGAAGCTTGTAATCTCCTACAATAGTTCTGATGTAAAAAAAAGTGGGCAGAGACCCAGAGGGTTCCAATAAAAACTTTAATGAAAGTTAACTTTCTTTTCAAAAGTTTCAAAGCCTCTTGTTACATATATTTATGTTATTGTGAAATATGTATTTTTAGGTTTTTCATTTTTTAAAGTGTTTATTTAAGATTATAAGTGACAACTATGAAGGAGGAGGAAGGGAGTTAAAAAAACTAGTTTTGTAAATTCACCTTTTTATGATTTGCATATGTTACAGATTATTCACTCGGGACTGATTACTTTTATAATACTTTAGTGTCTCATTGGTACTTTCCTAGCTGTTTTGCTAACTACAATAAAACAACAGGAAATTGCAACTATCATCCAATCAACAGAACATGGCAAAAAAATTGATATGTTAACTTACAGGGAATTAGCACTGTAGAAAGACTGAATACATATTATTGAACATCAGATTTAAATAAAATAGAAGCCTAAGATTAAACAATATTTGTTTTCCATTTGCAGTGTTAGATCAATTAATCACTACACCTGATACATAGGCCTTCTCTTGGGGTGTTCTACTTGAGAGAACACTCAACATTGAGATATCAATTAGCCACCAAATGCTCCAATACTATCTGTATATAACGTATATAATTGAAAGACAACAGAATGTTGTAATTGGAGCACATTATAGAGTGAGAAGTTGAGGGGAGTGCAGAGGAGGAGTGTGGTGAGAAACATTTTCGTCTTTATGTGGTTACAGGATTAACAGTCTCTGTTTGAGAGATTATTCTTCCTCCGCTGTATTGTGAGGTTCACATCTTCTCTGATCTCCCTCACATAGCAAGATATATACTACAGTTTACCAACATTTTTAAAAGCAAAAACATCCTCACCTTATACATTCCAGCACACATATTATGATAAGCCTGGCTCAAGGTGATCTCTTTGCTCAGAGGTCGAACTGTATTTAAGATAAAGAAAGATTTTTTTCCCTCAAGTCTGAAAAATAATTCAATTCTGCAACACTTTTAGAATTCACTTAAATAATTCCTTTAAACATTATGATTTACATTGGCACAGGTTTCTGCTTTTAAACTTCTTTCATGGATGTGAGCGTCAATAGCAAGACAAGCATTTTTTGCCTATTCTTAATTTCCCTTGAGAAGGTGTTGGTAAGCCAACTCAGTGTTGTTAGAAAGGATACCACCATTAACTGTCAGCCTACCACTGCATTAGCCCATTGTCATACTGACTGCAACAGAAGCCCGGATTTTGCAGTCAGTGGAGAAGAAAGGATGCCTGCATTTACCTTACAGAAAATTGCTCATAAGATTGAATGACTGTTATGTAACTTTCCTCTTTCTGATGGCAATTTGGATCTGGAATCAAGTCAAGGTTGATCTTGACAGCAGCAGCAGTAATGTTGACAGGCAGATAAGTGGCCAGAAACACTGAAGTATTTACAACAGCATAGGAAATTAAAAGGATTTAAAATACTTGATTTTTCATAGGAATTTTCAAGTAACATAATAAATGATAATGATTAGATTTAGATAGAAGTGAAGATAAAGTTGTTTTGAAACAAATGGAATTCTGTCATTATGAAAAAAAGTTGAAATTCTATAAATAATCGGGGGGCCAGTGAAGGTATTTAGCCTGATTATAACGTTACAGACCGTTAGAAACCCTGTTTCACATCATTCAAAAAGGCAGAAACTTTCCAAAGGCTTTAGAGTGAGAATAATTGCATTAAGAGTATGAGTTCTCAACAACTGCATTGATTTCCATTGATTGCAGCCAGGATTGTCTCAACAGTGCACCCTCCAGAGAAACACAATATTCCGCAGTAGTCCAGAAATGTTGTCAGTTTCAGTGAAGTAATAACTGAATGTTGAGAATATTACTGTCATCACAGAAAATCTGAACTGGAGCTTATTTTAGATAGCATTAGTCTCTACCTTTCTTTTTCTTTTTTGTCTTTTTGCTGCTGCGTCCTTTCTGTTGTTCCTCTACAATCCGCTCTTCTGCCATTTGAGAGGAGTCAGCACGGCTCAGAGTTGATATCAGCCAAGCATACAGGAATTCTGAAAGATACCTACAGAGCAGTGTACACCAAAATGCAGTTACATGGGCAACGGGAATACCTTCTAGACATTTAAAGGAATTATGCGAACAGTCAAGTAATGGAACATGCTAGTTCAGAAGCAGTTGACAGTATTGATTTAAAAATTAAAATTGTACTAAATCAGCTGAAGCAGGCTTGCTTTCTAAATAACCTTTGTTCATCTTTCAGATCACTATCATTAATTATGACTTGGCCCAGTCAAAGATGGGAAAATGACAACAAAAAACACATTACAAAATGTCAAGTTGGCATCCTGGATGAAGTGTGTTATAACTGATAGATGTATTCACATTTTATAGATGTGGCTTACCAATGCAAATGTCACTGTGGATCATGAAAGGATTGTGGTTTTCTTTCCCCTTAATTTGAAAGTTTTAAACCAGCTCTTTAAAAGGAATATGGCATATTCCATAGCACTTCATTCAGCAAATTCTCAACTGTTTATAAACTTACCCATTTATTTAAAATAAATGCTGCATACTAGTCTATTTTCACATAAAACAGAATAAAATGAAGAGTGAATTACGTTGAAACCTGCATGGAAATGATTTCAGAAGAGATTGCAGTGAGCAGGACATTTAGAAGATTTGAAATCAGTGGCTGGCCTCAACACAGAGTTTCATGGAAAGCATGTTTATCAGTGTTGTGACCCTGCAGTTAAAGGGATGGGAAATGGTTACTAATGGTCAGTCAAGGATGATTCTTCAGGCAGTGCAGGGGTTCACAGAGTCTGTCCTGCTTTCAAACTGGTATTCAGCTTTGGATGCTGGTGATGTGAAACCTGCTCTGGGGACTGCAGCAGAATTAAGTCTGCAGCATCACGTAGTATGTTGCCTCCCCTGTGTCAAGGTCACGGATGTCACTGAGCAGCTGAAGAGCTCTCTGAAAGGAGGGTGAAGGAAGCAGATAAACAGCCCTGACTGATCATGGTCCTTATTGGTGATATAGTTAGAAGGAGGAATGAGGGCCTGCAGACAGATTTTATGGAGTAGGGATAGAAACTAGCAAGCAGGCCCTTAAAAATGTAGTAAACTCCATTATATTCCCAAGGCAATCTGCTTGTGAGTACAGAGAGAAAAGGAAAGTAAAGAAAATGAATATATGACTCTAGAGAAGTTTAGGAAGGACTTTATATTCCTTGGAGGTTAGCACTGAGTCTGTGGGAGATGGGACCTGTACAGGCTGGATGGGTTGCATGTGAACAGAGCTGGGACTGATCTTGTTGTGGCACACAGTTTGTTATTAGGGAATGCTTAGAATATCCGAGAAGAAATTACCAGCAGTGCATATAGAGAAAAGGCAGGGATATGGGACTAATTGATTCGCTTTTGTAGATAGCTGCATAGACACAATGAGCCAAATAGAGTCCTTCTGTGCCACGACCATTCTATAATTCCCTTTCTGCTTCTACTCTACTTTCTCAATAGTCACACATGTGCAAAATGTTTAAATCAGAGATTGCATTACAGTTCTATTTAAATAAAAATAGTAGTAACACAGTTATAAGACTAATGAAATAAAACATGCTATTCCCTAAATTTGAAAATTCAACATTTACAGTTGCAAAGGCTGTTCATAACTAAATAAGATGAGAGGCAGTATCGGTTTAAATTATGGTTTATGAGCAACATTCAATCTGATCATGTCACTTCCAAACAGATTCACAAAAGGCAGCGTTAGCAGTAGAATCTGAATGCTACTATTGTGGTTAAGTTTTCATACCAGTAGACATAGTAGTATTCATGCATGCTATAGAGTTCCAATTCGAAGCCACTCAACAGGTACTGGATCATGATTCGAAGGTTATGGTAGAGGATCCATGTGCCTAAGCATGCCAGATGCTGCCTCTGTGGTTCCTGTTTCACTAACATGCTATGGAGCGCCGCATCCACCTTTTCAGCCTGTAAGCAGGAATTTATGCATAGTTATGGTGCATTTAAGTTCTTTTCCTGAACCACTATCCTTAAGCGCACTGGTGTTTGAAATGTATTCACATTATCACTTTGAACAATTTCCCTCCATCAGTTTACTCCTCAATCCACCACTCATTCACCCCTGCTCAAAAAAACAGTTAACAAACCCAAGTTAGCACCGTGATCAATGGCTATTTGAAAAAAGAGATA